GAAGGGGGGCCCTTTTGTATGCACACATAAATAAACAAGAAATTTTCAAAAAAAGTTGTGAAAACACGTTTAACTTCAAAAACATAGCACATTCAGTACATGTATATCAAAACAGACATGATGTACGATACTATTTATCTTTTAGAACATAAATTTCAGTTCTTAGACAGGACATGTAAAGTTAACACGTTACTCTATTACTATGATTACAATTGTAACTTATCATATAAACAAACATACAGATAAATACAAATAAATAAATATTGTTTTGTTTAAGTGATAAGCCTTAGAAAAGATTTAAGCGCCGAAAGTACTGGTTTTGGCGCCTTTTTGTATGCACACACAGATAAGCAAGAGATTTACTCTAGTACGTACTGCAATGATTTTGAAAGTACTGGTACTGAATTACCCTCACAAAATGTTGCTACTACTGGTACTGATACTGCATGACTGTCTTAAAAAATGGTACTGCTAAAATTGTCATTATGTTGTTCTCTTTGTATTTACTAGTAAAAATGTGCAAGATTTACACTTATCAATTGCTTCTATTCTAAATAGTATTAATACAGTGATTTTGTTAGCACCATAAAAAGTTGTTATTTACTATGGTATAAATTGAACAAAGGTGTGGGGGTTTTGAAAAGCAACAAAAGACTGTTGTGTTTTAAATGAAAGATGATTTCATTGTATTCATACAGTTGACTGGTTACTAAACGGTAAGATATGACATGAAAATATGTTGTAAATATTGTTTGTGAAAAGTATCTTAAATCATTAAAGTTTTAAAAATGTATACTCTAAAGTAAATAATAATTCCGTTTATTTTGCTGAATAATGTTTGATTTTTTTTATTTGAAGTGTACACATGTGAAATTGAAACAATTGTTGAAAAAAACATATCATTAAAACATGCATAAATACATTATATATTATTTTTGTTCGACAGTGTGTATTGATTCAAACTATGATGAATATATACCCGTACTGTTACTTAACTTAATTTCTTCTAAAATAAATACTGTACTGAACCGAGCTAAAAACCCAGTACTCAGGATTGGGCTTGGCTAATTGGTAAAAATGGTATTGGGGACTTAATATACACCCAAGGCAGCTCGAATGACGTTCATCAAAGGGAAACAGAATGGACCGAAAAAAAAACATAAAATGTGGGGCAATAATATATGGGCGTTAATAATTAATTTGAACTACTTAAAGATTCAGTTATTTTGTATCCCGTTTAAACAGATTAGAGTGACACAACTTTACAAACCGTGAGCGTTTCCAATGGTTGTCAAATGAATTGACAATACTTTTACTCATCATCATGGAAAACGTGTTATTCTTTAATATGTGTATGAGCAAATGTAAGTAAACATATTCATAATTAAGTAAACAATACCATCAACATGTGGACATTTTTCATCCAAGAAAGTCAACAGCCAGAATTGACTGATTCCCAGTTTTCTTATCTTTTGCTTCAACAACTATTTCTGTTCCGCTGAATGTGAAGGCAACTAAAACCTCCCGATCCAATGCCCCGTCATGATCATCTAAGTCTATCTGCAACTTCCCAATCAAATACATCCCCGTCTTTTAAATCGGGGCGGCATGTTTTTGATACAAAAAACAGAAAATACATCTTTTTTTGAGATTTAAATTGAAAAATTGTAGGGCCCGAAATTGGGTTTTTCCCCCAACTTTTTAAACCCTTTTTATCAAAATTTTGCATGTTTTCCCAAAATACCTTTGGGGCAATTTCATAAAACCCTTTTTTCCGTAACTACGTTTTCTTGGGGGGTGATGTTTCCCCGTACAACTTTTCAAAGTCTCCAATCCCCTATGTATATCCCTTTGAACACGTTTAGTAACGAAATTTTGGGAAGTCCAAAAATTTTTGCTCCCTTTTAAAAACGCAGCTTGAAGCTTCTTCGGGAACAATAACATCTGTTCCATTAAATGCTGACTTAACGGCGCTCTGTAAAACTAGAGACTCAGAAAATCCACCAACCATTAAAATGACCGAAATGTTAACATGTCTTTTCGTCATAATACTTTGCACCATGTACACTGTGCGGTCGACAGATGTTCTGAACCACGATCTTGCAAGTTCTGATGAAAATGATATTTTGTCCCTGACAATTTTAATGTCAGTTGCATATTCTGATGTTTTTAAAACATCGGGTAATTTTTCTTTTGTGACATGATAGAACTTATCTGTTAGTGAGGAAGGAAGTCTCATTCTTAGCGGTGAAACTAAAGATGTAGTTATCGTTCTTTTTTTGACCTCAAAGTCTCTCCAGATATCAAGCCAGTCATCTGTATGGTCCCGTTTAAACTCCTCGTAAACATCTCTTCCGACTAAAGTGACTAATAACCGCTCGAATTCTTTATCAACGATAGTGCCACCCCATCCGCCTCCACTAGCTGCATGTATTTCCTTATATTCTTATCATTATCTACCTCATGTACTGTTAAATCAATCGTTCCACCTTAAAATTAATTAATATAAATATTGCATTGTAGGACAAGTTTTTTGTCATTTATCTGTCTTTTTAAAGGTAGGGTCACACAAAAGGTCAATTTTAATTTAAAAGAAAAAGCTTGCATTTTATTAATGTTATAAAAGTACTTGCTTTCTCAATTATTTATAAATTCTTTTACAGGAAACAAATCAAAAAAGTGGCCTCTTGGGTAAAAAATCCCTTAAAACATTTTTAGTATCCGTTTAAAAGATTTCAGCATATAAAAGTATAACTATAGTAACTTTAAATTTTTGAGATAAACAATAAGGATGGGGAATGAAATGTCAATTTCTCCATCAGAATTCTAAATGCGCTGTGTAGCTATAGACACTTGTATTGGGAATTAAGCAATAGAAAATTATGTTTTTAAAAAATTGACAAAAAATCATTGACAAAATTTATCCTTTTTAGTTTGAAAGAAGGATGAAATTATTTCATGGATAAAATTATCTAACGAGGTTTTTAACAATGACAAAAAGTATTATAAGCTAAGTAAAGCAGTTACTTTAAGTATTTTATAACAAAACATGTATATATTTATTAACATACCCCCCGCATCTAGGACCAGATACTGTGTTCCGACTGATAACGAGGAAATACTGACACCCGTTTTGGATGTTGTAGCTTCTATTGGTAAGTTACGACAAAACATCGAGGCAGCTTCTGGTTCCAAAGCTATTGTTAGTCTTTTTCCCTTGATTCCAGCCTTAAAAATATTTTTTGCAATCATTATTTTTTAAATTTTATAACACAGGACATTTCCACCAGTGGCGAAATATGACCACATTCACAATCCAAAATGGCCTATTTTTCCAATTAAAAGAATCTCAACAGCAGCAAATCAAATCTGTTTCAATTTGTGAGGAAAATTGAACTTGTTTGACTTGTTTGTTTTAAAAGAAGCGACAGGTTAAATGATCAAACACATGTTACAAACATGTCATGTATACCGCACATTTTTAAAGTTTTTAAAATTCTCAAAATTTCCAATAATGTTGAAGATATTTTCTATCGAATTTTTATGCCAGCACCTTTTACTATCAAAATTGCTAAATAGGCCTTTATGATCAATTCTTAAGTAATATTTTTTAACTTCATTAACACTTTTTAATTTAAGTACATATTATGTCTAAACGCCTAGGTTTAACTTATAGTTTCACTAAAATAATGGTTATCATAAAGTGGCTAAATCATTTTATTATGAAATAATGCTAGTTAGTTCTTGAAGTGAATATAATTTATGTTAATGATAATAAAAAACAACGTAACACTAACACCATTATCGCAGGCTTCCCCCTATAAACTGTTTTAAATCCATCCCGCCAAATAGCTAGGCACTGTAAACACCCATGAATATCATCCAAACTGACGTCTCAATATGTTTGTCGGAAAAAATACCTAACAATCGTCTTTGAGAAACTTGATACCTCATGCAAACACTCAATACACGCTAGTGATTTGTTCAATTACTTTCAAGTGTATTTTTTCTATTAGTTTCAAAAATATAACAACAATTCACCTAAAAATTATATGTTAAAAAATAATAATTTCTTTATTTTTTTTACAAAAAAAATCTTTTTGATATCACTAGAAATACAGAGATTGAGAGAAAGTGTTTATTCAAGTACATTTTCTTATATATCATCGAAATGACTGTAAATAGTTGCAATGTACATATAACAAACAAGATATTTTTTATATAATTTTCATAGAGAGTTAATAAACATATTTTACGTGGTATAACTTGATTATTTCTGAGGAAAGAACGGAGAGGAATATTTTATTGATGTGTAGACATCACTTCTTCCATTTTTTTACAATTAAAAGCAAACTTAAAAAGTAAACATTTTAACACCTCTCCAAGCTTTATGTTCAACGACATCTTAAAACGCTCAAAATAAAAGAAATCCTTATGCTCTTCATTGGCAGCTAAATCTTGATATCTATCTTCAGCTTCATATCCAAATGATTCGACTGTCTTTCCATCTGGTTCTATCAGGATACAAGTGGGGGCCTTTTCTGTTTAGATAGAGCCTGACTTCCAAAGTTTCGTAAATGCCTTTGTCCGATCTGCGTCGAAGTTTGCACGAAGAGAATAAGCCCAACCAGAGAAAGTGGTACCAAAATCAATTGCAGCTACAACAGCTGAATCATGAACCTATTAGTAAAGGAAAACAATTTGGTAGTTTTTCCTTTATGTTACACGTTTTATTGACTCAAATGAAGTTTTAATACATGAAAGACTTGAAATATTTGTCCGAGAATAATGTACCATTCGATGCTGATTTGAACCAATAACTTGTGTGAAAACATTGAGATAATTTCCTCGCAGTTTTTCCCCAGAATAATGGTTTTAATCGTGAAAATTGAAAATAATATATAAAATGAAATAACGAACAAATGATGAAATTTTATAACAAAACTATTTTTCAATTCCATTTAATTGTGAGTGTATTTCTTAATTACACCACCGTTTAACTCATTTTGCAATAAACGCCGACGTGACATTCCAACGAATAAGGCATGCTAATACATGAAAGTCCAGTCTAATGGCCTCTCATCGCTGATTCAGAAATGATATGAGAATCGTAGTCAGTCACTTCCGAAAAAATGTAATTACTAATAATTTTCAGGAAAGCGGGTTAGGTCGATAGACGGTTGAGATCTGACCTAATGTGTTGAAAGCGGCTAAAATAGCATTACAAACAAACAACCAACAAACAAACATCCGATTAGAGTGCCCCATCCGATAAATGCAAGACATGATCTTTTTTTAATTTTAAGGATTTTTTGTGTCGCCTCTACTACGGTGTAGTGGCGACATATGGGATTCTTTTCACCGTCGTATGTCTGTCCGTCTGTCTGTCTGTTCGTCTGTCCGTCACAAAACTTGTCCGGACTACTACTCATAAACTACTGGTGCAATTTCATCCAATTTTTACAGGAACGATCAGTATCAAATCTTGTTGTGCATATCATTAGCATTTTCAGGTTCAATGATTTTTGTCCGAGTAATGGCACTTTTATAATAAAAATTAAGTTTGTCCGGACTACTCCTCTTACACCACCAATGCAAATTCAATGAAAATCTGTAGCTCAAGTCCTTGCGCATATTGCACGTGTTTCTTGGTTGAATGATTTTTGGCCGAGTAATGGCCTTTTGATAAAATGATGTTTTTGTGTGTTGCCAGATAGACTACTTCTCAAAACTGTTGGTGCAATTCCATCCCAACTTTAAAGGAATGATAAGTACCAAGTCAAGTTGTGCATAACATCGGCTTTTGATTGTCCAATGAATTTTGTCAGAGTAATGACCATTGAACTATTTTTATGTTTTAAAGTTTGTCCGGACTACTCTTCTCAATTATCAACAATTAAAACCTATACAAAAGTTTAACTTAAGTTGTCAATGTTTATCAAACAAGATGGTAAACTTTTTAAATATCTTTTTTTTGTATTTATGTCCAGAATATAGTAATGTTTAATACAATTGAGTTGTTTACTCCTTTTAAATCTAATATCAATTTTAAATCTAATACATTAAGTTGTTGGCAGCTTGTATATATTTGTTACTTAAACCTACCCTGTCAATCTTTTCAATCTGACCAAACCCAAGACCAATTATAACTGCTCCTTTCAAAGCCGCTTCGGTGTCCTCTCCATAAAATACAACATTCTTGCTGAAAAATGTCTTTTTGACACCATTTTTCAACATTGGTAGTTTTGCGAACTCTCCAAACACAATGACTGTATCAACATCAGCTAAATTCGACATGGTTCTGTTTATATAGAATATGACGCGTTGTACGGATGGATCGATAGTAGTCTGCATCAATTCAGCGGGAAAACATACTTTATTTGATGAAACCGAAATGCCCTCAAATGTTTTTGGTTTATTTCTTGAAGAAAACTTGTTAGAGAGCATATCTTTACATTTTTGATGAAGAATTGATGGGAGACTCATCCTGACAAAAGTTGATGTAAATGGATCGAAGAAAAATGTTTTCTTCAGGAAATCAGATTCAAACTCCGACCATTCTTGTTTTGATTGCGACTTAAATGTTTTATATCCGTCCTTTCCAAATAACTCAATACAAAACTTCTTGAATGCTTTCTTTAACATTTTTCCTCCCCCTTTTTTTATTTCAACAGCTGTACTTTCTTTTACTATTCCAAAATCTGTCGACTCATGTACAACAAAGGTTGTATAATAACCTACAAACATGCAATCTTTAATTACAAAACGTAATAATAATAAAAACTCATCCTTCATAAAATATGTCATAAAATGATAAAACGATTGATATATTCCTTTAAAAGTTGCAACAAAACAGGAATCGTTTAATGTCTATCTTTTTAAATAAAATCGACATATGATAGAATTTAGTCCACAATTTTGAAAGGTTTAAAAGATAATATATGAAAGACAAGCGGGTCTGCTAAAATTCAAACACTGGGAGAAAACATTTCATATTTTTATTTTCTACCTAAACTTTTCCTACTTTCCCTTGAAGATCCCTTTAACGAGTGAAAGCGTCAACTTATTATTATCGTTTTTTTCCTATATACTTTTACATGTATTATAGTTTTTCTTATAGCTGGTTCTTGCAGGTCGTGTGGGTGTTGGGTTCATTGAACGCCGCCTTTCTTGTTGATCTTGTTAATCATACTTTGTTATTTAATTATTTCTCATCAATTATTACATGTATTACAAATTTATTAATAAACAGATGCAATGTTAATTTGAAAATGAAACGCTTCATTCTTTTTCCCCGATTTTTTTATCCGTATTGTTTGAAAATGTTGAGAAAATGTTTGCATCTACAAAAAACCTTTCAAAAACACTGGATCCAAAGAAGGATACAAGAATGTAGATAAAAAAAGCAAATTGGGAGAAAATGAAAGACCATACAGTGCAAAAGTATAAATACCCAAGTACTTTCGGTGTATTATGCCATCATCAGGGGTGTATTACATGAATATTGTGCGCACGTTAGAGCACTAAATCTTTATACGTGTGTACTGTGTAGTTTCAAGAATTGAACTCAATACATACAAAAAGCCACCAGCAGCTAACAGCGTAAAAAATATATTTATTGAATAAGAAAAGTCCATGGATAACCTACTTCCGGCATTGACAATCATAAATTTCTTTCCAGTGCTAGATTTCTTGTTATGTGTTTCTTTCTGGTGAAATAAAGATACCGCGTCTATCTCAGTTACCACAGCTAGCTGTTTCACATTTATTCCAGCCTATAAGTAAACATTGTGTTAATCCTTAAATAATCTACACAGATTCCTGCCATATGATAATATCACTGAGTAGAATGTATTATATTAAAATTAACTTTAAATGGATATATTTTATTTTCAAGATTTGTTTTGAACATATTTTTGTAATTTGACCGGCGAAAAAGAAATGTTGTAGCCTCTTTGTGTTTTTGATTTACTCTTACATACGAGGGGTGGTCCAAAAATTCGTGGACAATGTGTGTATCTCCATAACGTGACGTCCTACCGAGGTGAACTCATTGGATATTATTAATCAATGCTTTTTTAATTAATTGATCAAATTTTAAAAGACCAACTGCATTTTTTATCTATATATGACAACATCAAAACATTAAGTATCAAAATCGCGGCGCAGCTTACTTTTTCTCTGTGATGTTAACGTTTTCATCTCATTTAAACACATGTAAAACCTGTGCAAACAAAGAAAATTGCGGGAAACGTTATAATAACGTTGTTTTGATGAGTATGACGTCACTCTGTCAGTATTAGAAGACAGTTTGAAGTTGCGGTTATTTTACGCTCGTGTTTTAAAGATCAGGTGCTAAAACAGCTTTATCAAAAATGGACGTCACGGATCCAGCAAAACTTTGGACAGTTATACAGTTCTGTGTAAATCTTGGAAAGACGCCTGGCGAGACAAAAACAATGATCGAAAGTGTGACAAATAAACCGTCCGTGTGTCGTTCTCTAGTTTATAAGTGGCAGCTTGGAGCAGAAGTACTCAGTCATCCACCATATTCGCCTGATCTTTCCCCTTGTGACTTCGCCTTGTTTTCCAGGTTAAAGAAAGAGTTGAGAGGGAGACGTTTTGACAATCTGGACGAGTAGAGAGGAGCCACCCAATGCATACTGTCATCATTCAGCCGGAATGGTATGCGAGTACATTTAGAGACTGGGTCCGCCGCCATGAAAAATGTGTGCGTGTTAAAGGGGAATACTTTGAAAAGTTATAAGGCAAAACGGTAATGTAGATTACTTCCTAACATAGCATAACGTCGTTTGTAACGTCGTGAGCTGCGCCACGTTTTGTCATGTCTATGTATATAAACTGGTGCAGAATCGTTAATTCTTGTACAATCCTTACAATATTTTAAGAATTTGCCGACATATGCTCACCTTATAAGGTACTAGAATTTCATGTGATTTGCTTGATTACTTTTTGTTTAATGCAGGGTGCCCACGAATTTTTGGATCACCCCTCGTAGATATCAAGTGACAAAAAACATAACTTGAACGGCCAGTATGTACAACTAACTAGGTATAGCCGAACAATACTCAGCTTTGAAAAATTTATTAAACAATTTTATCAAGTCTACCCTATATTGGTTTATATCATATACTGTATGTGAAGGATTTCATTTATTACATGTAAATTCTAAATTAATGCAAATAAAAGAAAACACAGAGATAAAGTTTCATTATGTTATGTGTTTTTGAAACTGACTCATTTAGTCAATGTTTTACCTTTGTCATACATTTTTAACATTTTTACAACGATCATAAAATCTTTAACACTGAGACATTTGATATGAAATAACATTTCATTTGATTTATATAATGTCAATGATTAACGCTTTTATGAAACAATTGCTAAAAACTGTGTTAAAAAATGTATTCTATTTTGAAGTGAGATAAGTGTTGGCTCACTTAATCAAATTTTTGTCTAGACTCGCTTTATTCTAAAATTGACAAGTGACACGTCTTGTTTTATGCTATACATATTTACTTGCTTATCAAGATATTTTTTATAGTTATGTGTGAGAGTAAAAGAAATACCATGCAGAAAACAATTTCAATTTTCATAAAAAGATATAAAAGTTTAATTAAGTCTTGTTATGCTTGTTTCAAAACAAAGTTTAAATAAAAAAAAGACAAACCTCAAGAGCGGCGTTCCTCATGAAATCAATTGCCCCAATTTCTTGAAATATTTCTGGTACGATAATAACGTAGTATTTGTCCTGTTCATCACATAACTGACAAAGTCTGTGAATTGCAGTTTTGAAGAATTTTATAACAAGTGTGAATACTGTTAAGGCTGGGAGTGTTTTTCTATTTTCATCTATCAGATGAACGTCATTGGTCTGGAAAAACAAAATAATATACATACATAAAATATGTAAATAAAACATAAAATGCATTCGTTTGACCTTATATACCAAGTGGCGAGACAATTACAACAATTTCAGGTCACATTCATTCGTATTAAAGATTCATTGAAATGAAATATGAAAAATCAATGTTTTTCAGTATTTTGAACAAAAAATAAACATGCTCGTAGATGTTTATAGTTGTTTAAATGAAGCTGAAATTCAATGATATATGTCTGCACACTTCCGAGATAATGGAAATATCGCATTTGAGTATACTTGTTCAATCAGTTGAACCTTTACTATAATTTTCCTTGGATTAAAAATAATTATTTGAGTTCGGTTATGTAATGTATAATGCATTAAGCTTAATCAGTACGTATCCAGATTCATGTTAATTTTCATGAAAACTTTGGAAATGGATTAGAAAATAAAATATTGTGAGATGAAGAAATTAATCATTTCACATATTGCAATTGGCACTTACAATCCAAAAAGAATTACCAAAATGTGGCCAACGTATGCAAAAATAGCCCTTAATACGTCAGTAACGCAGTAGAAATATGGTGATAAAATACTGCAAAAGCAGTCGCCAACCGCATATAACATGTAAAATATCACTTGGATCATGTATGTTTTTACCTTGTACATTTTTCTCAATGATTTTCTTGAAATATTTGGCTCATCTGGAGACGTGCAGCTTAAATTGCACACTACAGCTTCCTTTCTTAAACAAACGTACACTAGGAAATGAATATAATGTCTGAGGCTAAATGAAGCAATGGCTTTCCCTTGACAGGGTTAACTCGTTAACGAGACCCGGTAACAAAGTAACAATAATTTAAGGATTGAATAACGCTATACTATCTGACTTTGTGCTATCTTTCATTCAAGTTCATACTGGAATCACAAAAAATATGTCTCCCAAAACAATGTATGATATGGATCACTCCTGTGAATTTTGGTGGAAATACCGCCAACAGTTTGACCTGTTATAGCCGGACAGAATTTTTCTATTTTTAGCTCTGGTAGCCATTTTGTGCAGCGAAGCAGAACATGACGGCGATTGTACAACTAGGGATCTTGTGAAGTTGCATTGAAATCCCACCAGTAGCTTGACCTGTGAAAGCCGGACAATATGTTACTATTATAGCTCTGACGGCCATTTTGTGTAGCTAAGCGAAACATGCCGAGATATGCACAACTAGGGATGGTTCTGAACTTCTGTGAATTTGGTGGAAACCCCGCAAGCAGTTTGACATATAACATGATCTTTCTAGTTTTAGATCTGGCGGCCATTTTGTGCAGCAAAGCGGAACGTGCCAGTGATGTGCGCAACTAGGGATACTACTGATCACTCTGTAAAGTTTGGTTGAAATCTCACCTGTTGTTTGACCTGTGAAGGCCGGACAAGATGTTTCTATTTTTAGATCTTGTGGCCATTTTTGTACAGCGAAGCGGAACGTACCGGAGATGTGCATAACTAAGGATGGCACTGGTCACTCCCGTAAAGTTTGGTTGAAATACCACCAGTAGTTTGACCTGTTTAGGCCGGACAAACATAATGCGGATGGACGGACGGACAGACAGACAGACAGACGGACGGACGGCGAAGACAAAAACAATATGTCTCCCAAAATGCTGGGAGACATAATTCTACATGAAACTGGCAATCATATGTATATGCAATTGCTCTTACAAACTAGAATGAAAATGTGTTAATTGCATATGAAGATATACAAAAATACTGTACCTCTTTAAATAATTTCATCAACTTTAACGAAATGTCTTTGAAGAAATAATACTGTTTGTGTTTGTTTTCTAGTTTAAGTTCATCATATAGAACTTCCGCTTCGTATCCATAACCATGTAAGGTTTTGCCATCCGGTTTAATGATAACAGTAATAGGCGCTGAGATTGTTTGGCAATTATCAACTGTTGACCATGTCTTGCCATTTATCCTTAGCCGACCTTTATTGTAACTGTCTCTAGTGCAGAATGCCAGTCGTGATGTCTCCATATTGAACTCTATTGCTACTGCTATTAATGCCTAAAAATAACAAACACATACTTCATATCATATTGGGTAATTAAGCTTAGGCTGTTAATTGTTTAAGAACTATCCTAGGATTATTCGTCAAAATGAAACAAGAAGCACGTCTGGATGAGTGTAATGTCTAAGAATTGTTTGTTTATCTTTATTAATGGCCTCGTCGGCATATTAATATACGATATGTATCATATGCACAAACTCTACTGTACATAATTTATAACTTTTTAAACTAGATGAAAAACCTTCATACAGGAACATATAATAGGTCGCTGTTTGAATCAATTGATATCAAATTACACGAAGTAACAGATATGGAATAGTTATAGTTGTATTCATCTGACAGCAGCATTGTGAAATTATTATGTTTAGTAAATGACGCCATGAAGACTTCTTTTTTGAATGAATTTTAATGTTTTTTTAGATACTACGTTATAATTGTTTAGTTGGATAGAAAATACTTTGTAGACAAGTCATTTTTTTATGTCGACATAATGTGTTATGTTGAAGCATGTTGACATACCATAACTTGTCTCTCCCTACATGAACGCGTTAACAGGATGTACGATATCGGCTTCCATAATTTCGACATACATTTGCTTAAAAAATTGTCCTTAGTGCCATAATTTGAACAGTTTTGGTAGCGGTTCACTAGATAATGTCAATATCAAGCGCTAAGATTTATGGTTTCAAAGATTCTTTCTGAAGTCCGGTTTCGTGTAAAAAGTAAACACTCTTTCTATGATGCAAATAAGACCAAGTAAATCACTTATACGGTGGATAGAAAGCAGAAATACTGACAAAATGATGTATAAAGTTACGTAAGGTGAATGCCGGTATGACTTTTTGAAATATTTATGAAAATTATTGAAAATTTCGAGTGTCTGGTGTAAAACGTATTACGTTAAGTGGATGGGATATCGCAGGTAAAAAATTTACCTGTACATATCACCTGATTAAAAATTCGTCACGCTTGATCGAACTTTTGCTATGAAAAGTACTGTTTAGTTAAAAAGCAGTTATGTAACATATTATATATATATATATATATATATATATATATATATATATATATCATTGCAAATGAGCTCGCGGACATAGCGAGGGCTTTCATCAACAAACATTGAAGGAGAATGTACTAGCGCTTTAGACTCAACAGTCTTTCAAGATTAAGATAATTCGCCAATTGACAAAAAAAAAGAAGAAAAAACAAAAGCAGAAAAATACAAAAACAACAAAAAAATGGCTGATTATATGGAAACTTCTAGTAAACAAGATCTTCTAGGTAATAAATTCGTAGACAAAATGTAAGACACGATAAATGAAAAATTGTCAAAGGTAATTACAAAAAGTGACATTTCTTAAATAAGCCAGGTTGTCATAGACACTGTAAATGAAATGAAAGAGCAGATTCTCAGCTCACTCGTAAAGCGTCTGGAAATACTCAAGGGGAGTGTCCATGATCAGGCGTCTGAAACAGATCAACTTAAAAAAGATTTGAAAAAACTGAAAGAATTAGATGAAATAAAGGACAAAATACAGTGTATTCGTGATAGGGTCAGACGAGAAACTGAAACAAGCGACAGGGTTTTAAATGACCTAGAGCAGTACAGCCGCAGAAACAACAATAGAATATATAGTGTTCCTGGCGATTAAAAAAAACCAGTCCTCTCAGGAAACAAATACTAAGGTCGTGTCTCTTATGAATGAAAAGCTTTCAATGTCAATAACAGAAGAGAGCCTTGATATAGCACACAGGCTAGGGCAGTATAAAGGGAAAGATCAACCTGTTATTGTAAAGTTTGTACAAAGACAAGTTAAAAATGAAGTTTTCCAAAAAATTAAAGAAATTGAAAACAACAAATATTTTCATAAACCATGATCTGACGTTCTTTGTTCAACAGATGCTATCTTCTCTTTGCCTTAAAGATACAAATGTAGTAAAAAATGCTGGTGTACGGATGGAAAGATTCTTGCGACATTCATGGACGACCAAAATGCAATAAAACGATTTAAGACAAAAAAAATCAAGTTTGTCGATTTTGATTACTGGTTGAACCTTCCGTGGCCAGTAAAAGGAAAATCCCAAATAAACAATTAAGAGATAAAACATGATAAATTGACAGCCTTTGACATAAAATTGTCTTTCCCCATAAATTGACAGCTATACGGTTTTTTTCTTGAAAAATAGAATATGAAAATGCTGAAACGTATGTTACAATGATTCTTAAATAACAAATGTCTACATATACGTGACATTCAGCAAAGTTTTTATTTGCTTTTGTTTTTTATTTATTCAATCTAATTTTAGGTATAATCTCTGATCTTGTCTTTTTTACAAAATCATTACCCTAGAGATGTTTTTACTGCATATCTTACTGCGTGGACGGTAGTTTGCACTTTACAGTACCGTCCATGAACAGGCTCAATCAAACCGAGCCTGCAACATTTTCAATTTTGCCGTGTTGGGCTTTCTTTAGGGATTCTGTATTTATCTATTTTATGAACACATCCGTGTTATTTGTGCCGTGTGGCGGCTGTAAAAAGTCTCCCCGTACATTTAATCAATGATGTTATATTTTCGATCCTTGAAGATCGTTCAGCACGACATAATTGTTGTGCTTGTGGTATTTTTAGTTTCAACTTTTCGGCATTTTCTAGTTGGGTGGTTCCAATATTCCTACTTGAATAATGTTGAATCACCCTTAGGATATGTTGCCTGCTTTTTAAATTTGTCTTTTGACGTCTTATCTGTGATACGCAGGCTTCATAACCTCTGATCCCCTTTCAAAATTCTATTTTATTTAGTTCCGCCCATTGTTTTCTCGTTTAGGGTACACGCTTTTTATTACTTGGGGACCATACGCCGCTTTTCATGGAATGGCACGGAAGTGTCACATTGAAGGTTCCATGATAACCGCCGTATGAACACATCTGCGGATGTTTCTAAATTCAAAATTTTACTATTTCACGTTTAAATGCTGAATTCTGCTTAAGCCGGTGCTAGGGGGCGTGGACGGTAGTTTGCACTTTACAGTACCGTCCATGAACAGGCTCAATCAAACCGAGCCTGCAACATTTTCAATTTTGCCGTGTTGGGCTTTCTTTAGGGATTCTGTATTTATCTATTCTATTATAATAAGTAATAATAACAACAGTAATATTAGCAATACTATTAATAAAAATAGCAATATAATCAATAAAATAATCACAAAGATAGAATTTTTATCATTATGTATAAACACGTTTGTTTGTTTTTTTGCAATCTCTCTGTAATGATATTTTCTGTTTCGTTTTGTTTTTCGCTTTTTCGCAAAGACATTACTTTGAGGTTCATTTCAATATAGCTTTAATTTAATGATATACTATTCAATGTGCTTTAAAAAGTTACGTTTTTGTTTTTCTCCTTCACTTTATTCATGCGGCACATAATAAATGCATAAATACTTAGAAGTCGGTTTTATAAAAGTGCATATTATGCGTTAAAGATATATCTCTGTAGGAATCACCACTTAGCATTAAAGTATGCTTAAATATGATATGATGCCAAAAATTAATATCTAGTGGTTTTGGGGAAACTGTTCTCTTTTTTCACAATGAAACTTTTTGTGTTAGAAATTGCATTTTTCTGTATGTTTTTTTTTATTCCCAGTTATTTGTCTACCATTGTCTTTTTATGTTTTTATTTTTCTAAGAAATAGATGTAAGCTTTTAAGAAAATATAAGACGCTTCTATCTTAAGTTAAGCTTGATTTTTCATATTGTTTTTTTTTTCAAATTAAGCTATATTTATTTCAAATAAATTATTCTGGTTAAAAGAAGACAGTGTCTTCCAAGCGCTTGTTTATGCACAACAGAAAAAGAAGAATAGTCCAGCCATCTGGGTTTTATTTTACTCTCACATTTTTGCATTTAAAAATGAAAAATATATCCAGTGTAAAAGTGATTTATTTATTTTTCTCAAGTTTTAAACTGGGAACAATTGTCCTTTCTGTGTTTATTTTGTATATATGTGTGTGTATGTCTGTATCTGTTTATGTATGTATGAATAATTTATTGATTTATTTGTGTTTTGTTCACATTACCTTCCTTGAAACACGTATTTTTTTTTCAAATATACGTTTTAGATTAATTTAAGTAGCCTAAATATCCTAAAAATTGCAGTATTTACTGTTTACAAGATACACACTTAACGTTAAATATGTATAAAAATATATACTGTAAAAGGAATAGTGAATGTTTCCTGAGGGACATCCAATTCACGGGGAGTTGTTATTCTTTTTAATAAAAATATTGAATGTAAAATTCATAGCAAACATATTGATAACAAAAGAAACTTTATTGTTTTAGAATTAACAATTGAGGAAAAAAAATTAACCCTAATAAATCTTTACGGTCCAAATACAGATCAACCAATTTTTTACAGTGAACTGTTTGATATCATTGACAGAATAGGAAACGATTCTTATATCTTGTTTGTTAACTTAGTTCTAGATCCTGAAAAAGATTATTACAACTAAAAATTTGTAAATAATAATAAAGCTAGAAATTTTATATTACAAATATTGATCAGCGAAATCTTTTTGATCCATTCACAGAATCCAAATCTAAACAGATACACATGGCGTAAACCGACTCCAATCCAACAAGCACGCCTTGATTTTTTCCTGGTTACTGAAACAATTTTCTTCATGTAGAAAATATTAATATTGAGACAAGCTATCAGTCAGATCATTCAATTGTTATAATGAAGATAAAGTTAAATTATTTTATACACGGGAAAGGTCTCTGGAAACATAATAATTCCCTTTTAAAAGATATAGATTATTTGTATAAAATACAAGCAAAAATAGTTGATTTAAAAAAAAACAGTATGCTTTACCTATATATAACCTTGAAAATATATCGGAAATACCAAATGATAAAATTCAGCTTACGATAAAATATCAGTTGTTTTTAGAAACACTTATAATGGAACTAAGAGAGGGACAGCTATATCTTACAACAGTTATCTAAAGAAAAAAGAAAGGAATGTTGAAAAAAGTAAAATAAATGAAATACATGAAATCGAATCAAACTTGTCAGACGATAAACTAAACCGATTGTAAGAATTGCAAAATAATTTAAAAGAACTTAATAATATTCAGCTTCAAGGTTATCTTATAAGGTCAAGAGCAAAATGGACGTTAGAAGGAGAAAACCTTCAAATTGTTTTGCGGTTACGCAAAAACATAGTTACATAACTAAGACTATACCCTTCAAAAAGATTCAAGAAAGATGACGGTAGTATTCTAAATGATCAAAAGTTAATATTAAAAGAAATTGAAGATTTTTATAGAACTCTTTTCAGCAAAAAGTCGTCATATGATGCAACTGATCAATTTTTTACAATTTGGGGAAAATATAGAAGCACCCGTTTTAAGTGAATCGGAATCCAATGTATAAGAAGGCTAAATAAGTTATGAAGAAGCTTGTAAAGTTTTACAAAATATGGCAATAATAAAAGCCCGGGGACATCAGGCTTTAGTGCAGATTTTTATAAGGTATTCTGGAAATATTTTGGTCCTTTTGTGGTAAGAGCTACCAATGATGCTTATACTTCAAATAAATTGTCAGTGACCCAAACACAAGGTGTTATAAATTGTATTCCAAAAGAAAATAAACCTAAACAATTTGTGAAAAATTGGAAACCTATAACACTTCTTAATACGGTATACAAAATTGCTGCAGGTTGCATAGCAAATCGAATAGAACTTACTCTAGATAAACTAATAAATAAAAATCAAACAGGTTTCATCAAAGGATGATATATTGGAGAAAATACCCGTCTTATCTATGATATCATGCAGTATAATGAAGAAAATAACATTCCTGGACTTTTCCTTTTAATAGATTTTGAAAAAGCTTTTGATTCACTCTCTTGGTCATTTGTACAGAATACTCTGTCTTTTTAAAACTTTAGTCCGTATATAAGAAAAATGGTTTGATATTTTATATAAAGTTGCATCTTCTGCTGTTAATCAATGTGGGGTTTTTTTAAAACAAATTTTGACATAAATTGTCACAATTTGCAGATGACACAACAATGATTTTAGATGGATCAAGTGCGTCTTTAAATAAATCTTTGGAAATCTTGTCAGATTTTGCACAACTATCGGGACTTAGTGTTTATTTTGATAAAACTAAGGTTGTGTGGATAGGGAAAATGAAATATTCTCAAAACAGTATAAAATCAAGATGGAAATTGTCTTGGAATCAACATCAATTTAAAATGTTAGGCATAAATTTTCATGTTGACTTAAGTAAAGTTATAAATTTAAACTATAGCGAAAGAATAGAAAATATCCGAAAGGTTATTCAAAATTGGAAAAGAAAAGAACTCTCACACCAATAGGTAAAAATTGCTTTTATTAAATCTCTTTTGATTTCATCTCTAAATCATTTATTCATTTCACTACCAAACCCTTCTTAGGATGTAATTAGTGTATTAAATAAAATGTTTTATGACTATTTTTGGCAAGGAAATGTAAAAATTAAGTCTTCCGTTATTGTAAAAAACTATACCGAGGGCGGCTTACAGATGAGAAATATTTCTGCCTTTATCATGTTATTAAAAATAACATTATCATGTTATTAAAAATAACATGGTTTAAAAGAATAATCTCAAATGCTAGTTGGAAAAGTATTCTTTACGACAAAATAGATATGCAAAAGTTTTTTTTCACTGCGGAAACCATTACTTTGATAAACTTGCTAAACAATCATTTTTGGTAGGAGACTTTTACAGCCTTATCACGATATATAGAATTAATTCCAAGCGAAAATCATTCTTTCGGAAAACATCCTTTATTTTATAACAATAACATATTTATTGGTTCACAAAGCGTATATTCAAATTCGTGGTTCGATGCTGGTGTTTATAAAGGTGTGAATATATCTGCATATTACAAAACGTTAAGTAGCGATACTGGAAAATTATGTAGACAAGTCATTTTATCTATGTCGACATAATGTGTCCTGTTGAAGCATGTCGACATGCCATAACGTGTCTCTCCCTACATGAACGCGTCAACAGAATGTACCATATACGCTTCTGTCAGACCTCTGATATAAAAAGTTGTACGAGGGAAACCGTGATATTTTCTGTCTACATAGTAGAATAAGCCATATGCCTACTTTAGGTAGCAGATTGCGTCCATTTTAAATTTATAATCCGCGTTATTTTGTTTTGATACATACCTTGTTTGAGCATTAAATCTCAATTTTTTATGCCTAGAAATGTCTTGCGGGAAATGTCGCGGCTAAAAATTGTTATTACTCGCCCTGACCTTTTATGAGACCGTTGTTGAGGAACGAAAAGTTGCGGCCTATGATTTTATCCCTGTAAAAAATGGCACGGATTTCATTCTGTTCCTCGACCTTTTATAGACGGATGAGGGATAAAATGTAAAGTCAAGCAATGGACGCTACCGGCCATTGAAGTCAAATGTTTCTTGCTGTTTCCAACCACTGTTATGAAATATCGAAGTTTTCTCCGCGTTATCTTCTACGGTTATAAGCAGGGTTTACTCGCCAGAGTTTGTCTAAATGGGGAAAACATTTTCAGCCGCTAGTTTCAAATTCTATTCCAGGTACATTTCCGTTTGGAGGTCATCAGTATTTTGCAAAATCTTTATTTTGAATTTAGTTGGCAAATTTACGTTATAAGTTAAAAAGAAGACAAACTGTTATTCACAAACCTTTCTACACTTTATGCTTTAAATATTGTATTGACTATTTGTACTGAAAAGATGCGAAAATAACCTACAGCTACCTTCGTTAGGCATGACGGTGCACCCTGTTTCGTATGTTGTTCAAATTGTTTCCCTTTCTCCATTTTCAATCTGAAATAAACAAAATTGAACTGTCTTATGTTGATATTTGTTTGTTTGATTGGGTTTTACGTCACATCGACACAGTATAGGTCATATCGCGACGTTCAAGCTTTAACTGGTGGAGGAATACCTCAGGTGCACTTCCGTGCATTATTTCAGGCACGAACGGGCACCTGAGTAGAACCACCGACGTTCCGTAAGCTAGCTGGATAGCTTCCTCACATGAAAGAATCCAAAGTCCCTGTCGGGATTCGAACCCACAGCGGTGAGGGGCAAGTGGTTTGAAGTCACCGACCTTATGTTGATATAAACAGTTAAATAATATCAATACATGTCGATATTGCAAATAGTAGAATCATACCATAATAGAATCATATATTACGTTTTTTTCCTATAACATTTATTAAAAGGACTCGAATATTGTTTTCTAACATGGCGAAACTAGAAATATTTCTTTAAGATTTATGTACCATTTTATGTAGGCTTGTAGATTTGTATGCAAAATTTCAGATCATTCTCTCACTTTGTTTATTTTTTCCAGAATTACCATTTTTTAATTGTGAAACCAAAAAATCTAAAAAATAGTTGCAACACTTAATTACAATAACTTTTCATAAAAGTTCATACTTTATGTTGTCTCACTCTTTTTACCTGAACGGAGCTCTTTTAACAGTACAGGTTTAATGTTAATTAACTTTAGTTGAGTTATAAAATGTCTCCGCTATTTAACATACACGAGTTTTGTATTTAAACAGAATAAATGTTCCGGAATAAAATATTAGTTTCTATTTTGGAGTTTTAAGCGTTCGGCAACGATTTTGTGATTGCCCAATTAGGTCCTAGAATAATTTTCAATTGAAATATATAGCTTTTAGACACTTTAAAGTGAAATGTATTATGAGAAGCTTATGAGTTGCAAAATACCAATACCGGGCCGCCGACAAAGAGCCTTAACGTGTACCTTAAAAAACTAAAGAGGCATTTCATATTTCAATTACACTTACCGTTGCTTCTTGTTGATATGAAAGAATAAAGTAATTTACTGTATACTTCAGATTCTTGGTGCTCAGTTACATGGTTGACATGTGTGCCAGTTCTCTGTAATATAAATTGTACAACATGAACAATATAAATAACAAGGAATCAAATAACGGTTATATGTTTTGTCACCCGCCTTTTCGTAGAAAAAAGGGGATATAGAAATAAGCACCTTCCGTCTGTCCGTCCGTTCGTCCGTCCGTCACACTTTCGTGTCCATATCTTTGTCATTTATCAAAGGAATTTGAAATAAATTGGCACAAATGTTTGTAATTTAAGACGATGTGTCATGCGCAACAACCAGACACCTACCTCCAGGGTCAAGGTCGCACTTGCTCATTCAAGGTCAACATTGTCTATTTGAGGGTATTTTAAGGGATTTTGAAATTACTTGGCACAAATAGTTTATTATACAATTCATCTTTTCTTGTTAAATTGTTGAACTTGTTCCAGGGACATGAAGGGTAGCTTTCACTTGCCACTACCGTGAATACGCTCTGTGTAGCCGAACCTGCAACATTTTGTTATTGTGTCGTTTTTAGAGTTCTTTAAGGAGTTAATATCGTATCCAATTTTGGAAATTGTAGTTTTACAGATGGTTATAATTAGCTTTAGTCTTTTGCATTGTGGGTACAGTAAACCAATTTTATTTTCCACTGTAGACTCTTTTATACCGCCTACATAATGCGATATATACAATATGCAATACCATAAAAATATATTATTTTAATTAGCCAAACATGGAAAGCTTAAAATGGAGCCAACACGGCAAACTAGGTCATGTTGATTATGGATTTTTTTTGACAGCAGTGGTTAATTTAAACTACCACACGCGCCCACCGACTTAAACATTCAATAAACTTAAATTCAATATCTATGTTATTGTTAATATTCCATATCATATAACATATCTTATAACAGTATACTGTTATCTTACTCTGACTTTGTATAAATCATTTTGATTGCTGAACGAATTATTATTTGTCATTTTTTCAAACACTTTAACTTAAACGAAGCTTTAGTTGTAGAATAAAAATAATACCGTATAACTCACAAACAAAAGATCAACCTGAAGACTACATGCCCGATTTAAGCTTTTATATCAAATTGATATAAATTGTATTATCAATAGTTAATTTGTTTGTTTTACCTGATATGATTGATATTGTTTCAAATTGCAATAAACCTATTTAATTAATACATATTCAAATATATTTGTTGTTGATACCATTACTATGTGCGTTTGCTTTTGGTGCCCACCTACTTTTTAGCTCGACTATTCGATAAGAATAAGTAGAGCTATTGCAGTCACCCGAGCGTCGGCGTCGGTGTCGGCGTCTGCGTCGGCGTAACCACTTATGTTAAAGTTTTTGTAATAGTTCAAATATTTTCAAAGTCCATTGACATATGGCTTTGAAAATTTGCACACTTGTTCACCATCATGACCCCAACCTGTAGACAGGAGGAGGTAACTCTATCAAGCATTTTGACAGAATTATGCCCCTTTTTCGACTTAGAATTTATGTTAAAGTTTTTGTAATACCTTAAATATTTTCCAAGTCCATTGACATATGGCTTTGAAACTTTGCACAATTGTTCACCATCATTACCCCAACTTGTAGACAGGAGGAGGTAACTATATCAAGCATTTTGACAGAATTATGCTCCTTTTTCGACTTAGAATTTATGTTAAAGTTTTTGTAATACCTCAAATATTTTCAAAGTTCATTGACATATGGCTTTGAAACTTTGCACACTTGTTCACCATCATTACCCCAACTTGAAAACAGGAGGAGGTAACTGTATCAAGCATTTTTTTTACTATCAAGCACTAAGAATAGTCGAGCGTTGCTGTCCTACCAACAGCTCTTGTTCATCATAATATTACCTAGTCATTTCTACTATGCCCATCACTGAGTAACATTTTATCGCAGAAATTTATTGAAATCTCTGAAATTTTTACTGAATATATCTTAATTAGAATGAAAGAATGTAAAAAATATGTACATGAAGCTGCATTCCCTTTTACATTGTAAGGTCAAATTAAGTAGGTGCTTCCTTAAAAAAACTGCCAATTTTTTAAAGACACCATACATTCATATTGTGTCCGTCTATAGTGTGTAGAATTAAAAACGTAGCATATCAACTTAGTGTGAAGTCGTAAGATATTGATTATATGTTTACAAAGAGACAGTGTAGCAATTTTCAATATTTTCAAATATCACATTATAGCATAATATATCTTTAAAGTACTGTTAAACACAAATATTCGTTAATAATTATTAATACATTAATCTATCAAAAACATTACGAATAAATATATTATAAAACATTATACTGAATTATGCTATGTTCTCACCGCCGATCAGATCAACTCGATCGTCCCGATCACATTAATTCCCCGATGAAGCCCGATCAAGCTGGATTAAATGCACATTCACGACTCCAACACGACCTCAAGTCGACCATACACGATGTTTTACGACATTCTCGACGACAACCCGACCAACATCCCGATTTCTTCTCGATCACCCAGACCTATACGCGAGTCACACACGATCTCAACTAGACTTACTGGACCTCTGCTCGATCGTTGCCAGATTTCCACCGACCAGATCATAATGATCGTAATCGAGTCGTGTATAGTCGTGTATTGAATTGTTTAGAATAAAATCTTCAAACATTCGTGGTTCAAATCAATTCATGATGGAGATTAAGCAGTTGTGGTCCAGATGGCCCTACTACTCGTACTTCATATTGCCTTTTTGCCCTTTCTAGGCATTTTTGTTGTCAGAATTTGGAAGTTGCTCTATCTTCAAATTTGTAACAGCTTATGAGACACAAACAATATGTTTACATCTATATATTGTTTACGCAACGTGAACTCGTGTATGGTCGAATAACTATCGGGAAGCGATCGTGTGTGGTCGTGTAGCAGTCGGGTAGTAGTCAAGTTATTCTGGACAATAGATCGAACAGAGTTGATCGGGTTGCGATCGGATAATGCTCGAGTAGAAATCGAGATGATCGTGTACAGATCGGTTAAGAGATGTTTACCCGATGTATACCCGACCAAACTAGATCGTTACACGATTTATTCTCGATCAACAAGATCTTCTACTCGATCACTATACGATCGCTTCTCGACCGCTTATCTACTCGATCGCTACTCGAATGTTTTTGACATGTCAAAAAAAATTCGGGTAGGAATCCCGAGCCATGCCGACCAAGGTAGACCGCTCCGACCACCCCCGATCACGCATGCAGACCGAGCTAGACCGGTACCCGATCGCTTGATCGTGCTTGATTGAGTTGATCTGATCGGCGGTGAAAACACAGCATAAGGCAGACACAAAATGACTATTATATCTACACATTAGATGGAAAAGAAGAGAATAAGAAATTAGTGTCCCTATCTAAACAAATCAATATGAAGTTATGCACGTATCCTTACTAAATGTATGGAAGCATATATCAAATACAGCATGTTTAAAAAAATTACCTGCTAATTTATTTCATATTAACCATCTGCCAAATACCGTTCACCCTTAAAACGATATTTTTATAAACATATTGACTGAATCAACACAGTTACATTAAACAACTTGTACATACTATATATTAATGTTAAATCACTGCACCATTTTAGTTTTACACCTATATCTAAACCATAAAAACACATTTTGTTTATGTTTTCACCTGGATACGCATATTTATAAACCAGGAAGTAATGATTCCTTGAAATTTAATCAATTTATAAGTAAACACTAATCCATCTACTTTCGGGTTTATAACTTTAAATTAATGCGATAGGTCTTTATTTAAACACAATAAATCTATGCTAAATTTAAATGAAGATTGCAGCATTATTTGAGAAAAGAAAAAAGAAAAGAAATAAGTTCACAAATAGACACAAGTTAACATGAGTATAAACCTCACGGTTATCTAATGAAAAGCGTCGTTGCAAACGTGAAATATTATAAATATATCTATTAATGTATGTAAAATGTAAATGTTACCGTTATTATTAGAAGAAAATCATGAGCGGGATTATTGTACGAAGTCACACATTCAACTTCTATAGCGAACCGGACAATCATTACGCAGTAATCTTCCCTTTATTCTCCGGTATAAATACTTTGTACTGTACCTTCAAAAATTACAAATTGTAATACCATTTCTGTCTATGAACAGGCGCATTTAATTCGACCCTGCATCATTTTCAATTTTGCCGGTTTCGTCATTTTAAGGGGCTCCCCGTTTTTGTTTATCTAATTATCAATGGGATTCATATAACTCTGACAACAATTTAATTAGAAGAGGTGATGAAATAAGAAACATTTTAAACAAGCATGTACCTCATTTAAAACATAGTATCTAATCTAGGTAAGAATCAAAAGTGTACCACGTGACAAAGAAATGTAGCAGTACTTCTTAACAGTAAAATCTAGTCACGTGGTTTATTGTCGGAAAAAATGTAATGGCCGCCATTTTTTTCTTGATACAGCCTCTTATTCTTCGATATTCACCACAAAATAGCATCACAGGTAAGAGTGATTATGTAAACCCAGAAAAAATGGTTGTTTGCACCTACAGTAGAGCGCATTTTCTTCGGGATGATATTTTTACTTTTACCCTCAAACCCTTGTGTAATTTATGTATTACCTATCTATGCATGTTCCAGAACCAATACAACCTTCAGGCTTTTGTATGTAACAGTTAAATGAAAACAGTTAATCGAGAAATACAAAAAATCCATAATATGCTGAATTTGAGATATGGATTTGTAAAGCCTGAAGAATCCATTTAATGATTCACAAAGCGATATCATTATCAATGTACACAATTTGACCAACCAGCATGGACAGACTGCACATGATGGCTCTCTAGAGATGGTTAATGCCAAAACGTATGAGAAGATAGATAACCCTTACTTGACAAGTTTACAAATTAAACAAATCCTTTAACAGAATTTTATCAAATCGTCCATTGACAATTATCGTCTTCAAATTACTTGCATGCTCTATTTTTTCTGTAGCATGCAAACGAGCCATCCGTATATTTCCCATCGGGCATGATAACACTTAAGAGAGAGAGACACGGGAAACATCCACTTCTAACTAAATTGGTTATTTAGGATCATAAAGCGTGAAAACGTGTTCCAACGTTATCTAAACTTTTGATTTCGCAAGCGCGTTCAACATTCCTTGGAATCCAATATATTTTAACAGATTTTGTAAGTTTATCATGAAATCGTAATATCATGATATTGTCAGATTTTTTTTTTATTTCTAATGGATATCAAAACAGAAAGTGATATTTTCTGGCTCGCTTTCTGTTTTAAAATACATTAAAAATAAAAAATCTGACAATATCATAAGAAACCTTCTTTTACGATTTCATGATATACTTAAAACAAAATCTGTTAAATCATATTAGATTCCAAGTCATGTAGTTATTCGAGAAAATGAAAAAAGTAGATGCGTTAGCTAAACGATCATTCAATCTAAAAAAACTGACTTAGTGTTACCTGCTTGTGATTTTAGACCGGCTATAAATAAACTCGTATAATCTTAATAGAAAGCAAATTGGGACAATGCATTTTTTAATAAACTTAATGATATTAACCCATCTCTTGATGTGTCACCATTTATTCTCTGTCAAACCGCCATGATCTAACAGTTCTTCTTCGATGCCGAATTTGACACACTAAAATTACCAACTCTTACCTTCTCATGAATGACAATCCCCCTTTTTCTGTAGCTTGTAATGAAAATTTTACTGCCAAGCATTTTCTTCTTGAATGTCATGATTTTTCACAGGCCCGCAATAGATTTTATTGTGTAAATTCACTCAAAGAACTCTTTAATACGATTCCATCAAAAAACATCATTGATTACTTTCAAGAGATAAACTTGTATTCTAGGATCTAATTGACTCACTTTTATTGTCATTTACAAAGTTTTACATATTAACACTTTAAGCCTATTTTAGCATTCGGCACAATATGGCCAGTTATGTGTTGACGTGCCGTAAAAATACAAACAAACAAACAAGCAAACAAACAAACAAACATTCCTAAATGTAAACAAACTCGGGCTCCTCTTCTGACAGTAGATTTAGCGCTTTAAATATCGTCACTAGGTCATTAAGAATCTTTGATTGTAATTTAGAAATTTGAAAATATGGTCTTGAGATGTGGTTCAACATTTAATCCTGGTAATGGTGAAATTTTGAATTTAGAAACATCCGCATATGTGTTCATATGGCGGTTATCGGAACCTTCAATGTGACACTTTCATGTCATTCCATGAAAAGCGGCGTATGGTTCCCAAGTAAAAGAATGCGTACAAAGCTATTGTTTGACTATTTTTTAAATAATAATCTATTTTATCTGTTTTATTTATTTTACTGCTACTTATCGATTTATTTATAACTGTTATTATGCCCCATCTTCAAAAGAGGGGGTATATTGCTTTGCATTTGTCTGTCTGTCGGTCCGTCGGTCCTTAAATGGTTTCCGAGTGATAACTAAAGAACCCTTAGGTCTAGGAACTTCAATCTTGGTATGGTGATTGGTCATGACCAGTAGATGACTCCTATTGACTTTGGGGATAAGGGGTCAAAGGTCAAGGTCACATTGACCTTTTTCCGATCAATAACTAGAGAACACTTAGGCCTAGGATCTTAGGAACTTCAAACTTGGTATGCTGATTGATCATGACCAGTAAATGACCCCTATTGATTTTGGGGTCAAAGTGGTCAAAGGTCAAGGTCACATTGACCTTGTAGTTTAGAAAATGGTTTCCGATCAATAACTAAAGAACGCATAGCCTAGGAACTTCAAACTTGGTATGATGATTGGTCATGACCAGTAGATGACCCTTATTGATTTTGAGGTCTAGGGGTCAAAGGTCAAGGTCACATTGAACTTGTAGGTAAAAACGGTTTCCGATCAATAACTAAAGAACGCTTAGGCCTAAGAACGTCAAACTTGTTATGGTGATTGGTCATGACCAGTAGATGACCCCTATTGATTTTAGGGTCAAAGGGTCAAAGGTCAAGGTCACATTTACTTGACTTAAAAAACGGTTTCCACTCTTTACCTAAAGGACGCTTAGGCCTAGGAACTTAAAACTTGGTATGATAATTGGTCATGACCAGTAGATGACTCCTATTGATTTTAGGGTCAAAGGTCAAGTTCACATTGACCTTGTAAGTAAAAACGGTTTCCGATCAAAAACTAAAGAACGCTTAGGTATAGGAACTTCAAACTTTGTATGATGATTGGTCATCAGCAGTAGATGACCCATATTGTTTTTGGGGTCAAAGGTCAAGGTCACATTGACCTTGTAAGTAAAAACTGTTTCCGATCAATTAACTAAAGAACACTTAGGCCTAGGAACTTCAAACTTTATATGATGATTGGTCATGAACAGTAAATGACCCCTTTTGAATTTTGGGGTCACGGGATCAGTGTCAAATTGATCTTTTACTTTATGATGGTTTCTGACAAATAACTCAACAACTCAAGTTGCCTTTGTCGATATTTTTATATTAAACTAAAAATGCTTTTGGTATACACATTTGAAGGTCTTTTGTAATATAACAACTTGGCTGTCATTAATGAGGCCTACATGATTCATAAAATGTATGCATATTTTATTTGGCAAGATTTGTAATAACTTAAATTGCTGCACACAACCTATGGGGTCACAATAATTATTACCTTTTGACTAGCCATGACCATTAGATAACCCTTATTAATTTTTTGTTCACTGGGTCAGAAGTCATGCATAATAACCTGATCACATGACTAATTGGCTGCCCATAGGGGGCATACATGTTTTATGTTTAAGTGAGTTTGGTCAATTTCTGCTGTGACGATAATATCATCGTGAATCCACTTAAAACCTGAAAGAATTCGATTGATTTTCTTTCTTTGACATATTGCAGGTGCTTATGATACTCTATATGTCTGTGAAATATATGCATATAAACCTTTTAGAGTGTTTAATGTTAACATTGTATTTGTTTTGTTTTGACATCGTACACAAACGGAAGATATGCTTTGCAAAAATCTAACTTTTATTATGTTTTTCTATTTGATAAATTTGCAAAAATGTCTTTTATTCTCAGAAAAGGATATTTATCGACAATTATTGCCTGATTAACTTTGAAACTTTCACAGAGTCTTATCCCTCAATGACACAATATGTGAAGCCCACGCTTTGATGTGTTCACTTTAATTGATATGTCCGGTTCTTCTAGCTGTTCCGGCTTGCTATTTTATTTAACCAGACTGTAGTTTAACACTGATGTCCTCTTCTCCGATTTTACATTTCAAAAACACTTTGGAACTCCTGATATAAGAGAAAACAACCTCTTCATAGGCATTGTGTTATGTAATGTTTTCTTTTTTTCTCGAATCTTTGGTCAGAGAAGCTATCCTTTTGGCATTGCCTGCAAGACAAATAGTATTTTTGGATCGACATTTAAAGGATACATGTATATGTTTACCTAAGTAAATACGTCTTACATTGAGAAACACAGAAGAATTATAGTTTGCCGGTTTTTGACATGTTTTCAAGTCTTCTAATAGGCATCTTTCCCTCAGTTTGATCCCTTATTTCTGTTGTTACACAGTCTTTCAAATGTTGTAACTTGATTACGTTCATTTAATAAAACGTTCGTGATAAGATGTGATTCCGCATTGTCATCAAATCCATATAGATATCAAATTATATCATGACAGATTAATTCAAGAGACCTACGTTATTTATAATAGAACAAATACAAATCTCTTATTGATAAAATTCCCGAAACTTAATGTTAGGTTACCCTCGTGGCCAGATTGTTAGAGAAGCAACACATCTATAGTTCTGAACGATCATTTATGAGATATTTAATGC